GGGGCGCGGAGGCCCGGGCCGCCTCCGAGCTGGGGCTGGAATAATGACAGGTGTCTGCTCCGCAGCCAGTCGGAAGCGGGCGCGGAGTCTGGGCGAGGTCGGGCTGGTTCTGTGGACAGGTTGACTCAGCTTTTCCTCTTGGGCTGGTCAAGTTCGGACACGTTCTGAGTCCGCGTAAGAGGAGCTAAGCCCTGACTTGTCTCCAGCTGGGCTATTTAAACCGCGACTTTTGCCAGCTGTATTCACTGTGGTAACAGGCATACAGCAACCATTCTCTAGTGATCCAGGTAAGGACCCATTTGCAAATGGCTTTAGTTTTAGTAAACGCAGCTTTATTTAAAGGTATTATTTTAAGTTTTTATCTTTTTTTAATTTTCTTCCCCACCCTTAGGCAGATGTGCAATACCAACATGTCTATGTCTCCTGATGGTGCTGTAAGCACCTCACAGATTCCTGCTGCGGAACAAGAGACCTTGGTTGGTATTTTGTCTCAAAGTGTAACTTTAAAAAAAATTTACTTTATGATGTAGTCAACTGAATTCCGTTGACCACCCTAATCATAGCATGGCTCTTTAAGTGAAATTGTATGTACATAGCTTAAATTCTGCTACTCAGGCATAACCGTGGAATCAAAGTTAACTATAAGAAACAGTATTTTCTTAGCTTTTCACCACACTGGATTTAAAAGTGAGTTCCATTCCATTCTTAAGCTTGGATGCTGAAGTTTATTATATGACAGTTTTTTTCTGTTTTGACTGGTTAGCATTTAACTTTTTAAATGGTTCCTAAAAGTCACAAAAGTAATTCATGCTTATAGAAATGTAGAAAGTAAAAAGTGAAAATTCTAGTCTTTTGACTGTCTTTTAAATTTTTAAAAAATGTATATACCCTCGTATATATGTGGACATGTGAATTTTAATGTTATTGTTCTGTTCTAGTAAAATGAGATTAAACATAAGTACATCCATGTCAAATAAAATTACAGAATTGTTTTTAACGGCTGCATAGTATTTCACAACAGTATGCCATTTAAAAAAATGTATGCCTTTACTCTGTTTTAATTGCCTTTAGTTTTTGAGTATTACAAATAGTGCTGCTTTGTACATATATTCTAACACAAGTGTTACTTAAATATTTCTGTAAAAAAGATTTTATAGGCTAACTCATGGGTCTTAAATTATATATATATTTGATTGCTACTGGTAACTTGCTAGCTCACCAAAAGATCATTAACAGTGTGGGGCTAAAAAAAATATTAAAATTTTTCCTCCCACCTTCTAAGTTCTTCTAGCTGGGCTAATAAATTAACAGACAGATTAACAGGAGAAAAATCAAAGTTTTAATAAGTGGGCATGGGTAATTCACATAATCATGAAAGTTCCAAAGACAGTGAGGCAACATTGGATGTATAAGACATTTTTGGACAGGAGAAAAGCGGGGATGGGGTATTAGATTTGAGAAATGAGAGAGGGGCAATTTACAGGTATTTGAGGAATAACAGAACTTACTTATTTTTCCTTACTTAGAAGGAAAATTCGTGCTAGGCAACTCAGAAGTGGGGCAGAGGGTATCTAGCTAACTGGTCCCGGCAAGGCCTACTATTTATCATACTTAATTCAAATTAGGCTAAGGCGATATCCTGTGATCTCCTTCCTAAAGCAGGTTTTTCTGTCTGAATCTCTTGGGAAAGGTGGGGTGGGGAGGAATGGTCAGAAATTCTTTCTGAGTCCTTTGTTTCCTGATAAACAGCTTAAAATCAGTATCCCAAAAAGCAGCTTCAGTATAGCAAAACTTTGGTTCCCTTTAGTCTAGTTGGGTGGCCCTGGAATACAGGTCATATGTTTTTCCTTTTTTTTTTTTTAAAATATACCTGTGTTGATTTGAGAGAGAGGAAGGGAGAGAGAGCTAGAAACATCAATGGCGAGAGAATCATCATTGATCGGCTGCCTCCTGCACGCCCCCTACTGGGGATCAAGCCTGCAACTCCAGCATGTGCCGGGATCAGGAATGGAACCTCGATCTCCTGGATCCTATGTCAACTCTCAACCGCTGAGCCATGCCTGGTCGGGCTGTTTTTCTTTTTTTAGCAATACCTATCACTTACTGTCTGGTGCATGGTATAGAAGAAGCTCAATAAATGTTTATCAAGTAGATAATTGAAATGGAGACCAACTAAGAGGCAGCATGATATAGTAGGAAGAAAATTGTGGCTTGTAATTGAGGGACATGAGTTGCAGTCTCAGATCTGCTCTTAATTATCTTGTCACCTTGGTTTGGTTATTTAAATTCTCATTCTTCAGGAACCTAATCTGTAGAAGGAAAAGATTGGCAAAAGGCCCCACACTAAAGATTTATTTATTTTTCTTGGATTTTATAATTTAGTTTATAGTAAGCTCATTGGAATATTCCATTTATGGCTGAGTTTGTAAGGTAGGAAGCAGATGACAAATAGCTGGAGGAAAAAACGTAATTTTCACTGCATTGGCATGGATACTGGCTTTGATGGCAACTGCTAATACTTGAGAAGTCTATTTGGATAATAATTAGGTCCCAGCATTTTTTTTCAAACTCCCTAGACGGTCTGTGGTATTCAGTTTATGTAGTCTGTTACATTTAGTGAAAACATTATGTAACTTATGATGACTTATTTTTTTGAAGGATAACCTTATGAGATTGTTAAATGTGTCTGCTACCTTTATTGAAATTATGGACATGTTTGCAGTGGGGCTTATAGTTTTGTAATAATTTTGGAAGTATAATAGCAAATTTTTTTTCATAGGTTAGACCAAAGCCATTGCTTTTGAAGTTGTTAAAATCTGTTGGTGCACAAAAAGACACTTATACTATGAAAGAGGTAAGCTGAACTAAGAGCTAATGAGATAACTAATGTCCTACTAGCATTTTACTATATTTCCTTTCCTAATATGTAGTACCTAGATATCTGGGCAGAGTTAAGGTTTGAAAAAATACATTTTAAGGTTTTATTTAACTAAATCAGAAGCACTGCCCCTGCCTCCATAAAATTAAAAGGAAAAGATTTGAAAGCAGCTTTTTAAAGAGTTGTTAGTATAGGTAGTTGTGAATGTGGTTGCTGGTTTAACCCTCTTCAGATAAATATTGAATGTATTTGAAACTAACAATTTTCTTTAATGCGCAGAAATCATATTTCTATTTCAGGTTATATTTTATCTTGGCCAGTATATTATGAATAAACGATTATATGATGAGAAGCAACAGCATATTGTGTATTGTTCAAATGATCTTCTAGGGGATTTGTTTGGAGTACCAAGTTTCTCTGTGAAAGAACACAGGTAAATTTTTCAGTTTAGTCTATTGTAAAAGGCCAGCTGGGTAAATGTTTGAGTTTACCTCCACCCTCATTCCCTTTTGTCAAAGAAAAATTGTTACATATAAAAGATGCTAAAATTTAATTTCTTAGCAGTATAGCATACAGGGTGGGACCAAAATAGGTTTACAGTTGTATGTGAAAGAGAGTTTATTCTTGTATTATTATTTATTAATTATTGTTTGGAGATGTAATTTTTGGTATTAAAATTATCTTTGACTTGAATTCTGATATGTTGAGAGGTTATATACTAGGGAAATTATTGACTTGGAAAAGGATATGAATAGGAATATTTATTTTTGTGAGTTTAAGGAGCTGTATCATCAGTCCCAAAGGTAAAAAGAAATAGTTGGATTTGGCACTTCCCCCTTAACCTTGAGAATTAGAAATAATATCTTGTGACCAAAAAACATAGCATGATATCAGTGAATACTGAAATAAGTGAATTGTCTTCCTATTAGGATATAAGTTCCTTGAGAGCAGAGATTTGGTTCTATTCTTTTCCCCCAGTTTCTAGAACAGTGATTGATGTATAGCAGGTTCTCAGTCTGTATTTATGAAATGAAGGAATACTGCTTTATCTTTAATACATTTTAAGATCAAGGAAGAAAATCCATTAGATGACTGATCCAAGGTTGATGAAAGTCATAATTAAGTTCCTATAGTGGGTTTTTTATAATGCACTACTTTGTTTAGGTAGTCTACTTCTAAACACAGAGCTAGACAATTTCTGTTCGAAAATAAGTACATATGTTAACCTGCCTTCTGTGTTTATACCCATTCTCTGCGGTTTGTTAAAGTCCAAACAAGGCACATTTCAGGAAATGGAGACAAAATCTTTCAGCTAGAGGGACCCTAGTAGTGATTGTAAAAAGTAGCTGTATGTAATTATTCTGCAACTGATTATGGTGCTTTTTAAGACCTAGAAGCTTGATGTAATTTGAATGCAGTGATTTAAAATTTGGTTTGTGTGCACTAGTTCATATAATGCATTTAAAAGTCTGGTTAACTCCGGTTTAGTACATTTTTATCTTAAAATATACATTTCTTTTTTTTCTCCCTACAAGGAAAATATACACAATGATCTACAGAAATTTGGTAATAGTCAATCAGCAGGGTAAGTTAATTTTTGAATACCATAAACATATATCATGAAAATATTTTTAAGACATTTTGTGTATGTTTAGTCATTTTATAATTATAATTCTCTTTAAAAGTTGCTTTAATTTTAATAAAAATATGATAAATTTAACAGGAAATACATATGAACAAAACAACATAACCCTGAGGTTCTAATGCAGATTTACGATATATAAGGTTAAATGTTTGTTTACATCAGTTTAAGCCTTGGGATATTAGAGTTAGAATTTGTTTTGAAAGGTAGATCATTTCAGAAGTTCCTGCTTAGTAGAGAAGTGATCAAACCTGAAATGTATTGAAAGGCTTTGAGAAGTAATATATATACCTAGGTAGGACCATTTGAAAGGATGGGTGTTTTTTGTTGTTTTTTTCACTTTTATAATAGACAAAGCTTTGTTTACCAGTTTGTTTAGGCAAGTGGCATTTTACTTTCCTACCTTAAGACTTGTTCTTAACAGGTTATTTTTAGGTTACTTATCCCTTTAATAATCTGACAAAAGCACTGGGTTCTCATTCTAGAAAGATACACATATATAGTGGTATGCTGGTAAATGTTTAACAACCCATTCTCCAGGGGAAAAGGCCTGATTTGTAGTGGTTGCTGATTTCCATGTTGTAAATACTCCCACCATGGCCATTTGTAGGATACAAACATACAGAATTGGGAAGAGATGTGCATAGTGTGTGCTTGAGTGATGCTAGGAGCTGGCTCCAATACACCACAGATTTCTTAAAGCCCATTCTAGGAAGTCAGTTGAGAACTGTTCTCAAAAAAAAGAAAAAGAAAAAGAACTGTTCTCAGAAGCTTTACTTCCCAGAACCCAATATGTACTGACCACTCCTTTGTGCTCCTACTACTCTGTATTTAAATTTTGTTATAATGCTTTGTTACAATTGTTTACATTTCTTTTTTTAAAAAAAAATATGTTCTTACTGATTTTAGAGAGCGAGGATGGGAGAGGGATAGTTAGAAACATGGATGAGAGAGAAACATTGATTGGCTTCCTCCTGCACACCCCCAACTGGAGAGTGAGCCCACAACCTGGGCATGTTCCCTGACTGGGAATCGAACCGGTGACCTCCTGGTTCATGTGTCAACGCTCAACCACTAAGGCACACCAGCCAGAGATATTTCTTTCTTATGTCCTGTTCAGGTCTGCATTCTGCATCACATACACGCAGTACAGTGTTTTATTAATACGGTGTTTAGTAAATGTGTTGAGTACTTATTCTTCCAAAGTTAGGATTTAAGACCCAGAAAAGGGCATCACCATCGGTGATTATTAGTCTGGTGACTTTATTATTTTACAAAGCTCTTTATGAAGTCAAATGAAGGCAAATAAACAACTATAGATAGTATCTGTAGTAGTTTTTTCAGTTTTCTGAAGTATTATCTCTGATGTATTCAGTTAAACTAACCTTGGTAGAATTTTGAAAAACACCAAAAAATAAACAAACATTGGTAGATTACTAAGAAAATTATGGTAATGAGATGGTAACTTGTAGATTACTTATGTTATTTCCATTCTGAGTTTGTTTCAGGTTTCAGTTTAGTAGCATTAGCTTTAGAACTCATAGTGTTCTAAACCTTGTCACACCTAAGTGCTTCCTTTTTCATTACATCTGCTTTGTAATACCTATTATACTAAAAATATGTATATGTACAACTTAAAATAAGTGTAATACCTTCCTCATACAGAAGAAATAAACTATTATGACATTGTATATAATTTCAAATTGTTAATACTCAGGCCTGACTTCCCATTAAGGTGAAAATGTCTCGGAGGGAACAGTAAAGCACATTGGATTATGATATTTAGTAATTTGTATACCTGAAACTTTGACTTTTTGAGATCTGTGCCTGTATATCCAATTAAAAACTAAACTCACCCACCTGAATAGGTTTCATCCACTTTAGTTCAATATCTTCTCATTCAGATCTGTTTATCTTCTGCAGTTTCTGTCTTGGTGAATGGTACCACCCATTTATCCACCCAGGGTAGAATCTTGGAATCCTCTAATGTCTTTCTCCCTTGCCTTGTATATCAGACACCCTGATTTTTACCTTTTTAATTTCTCTGGAATTGATCTTTTTTCCATGCCTTAGTTTAGGTTTTAATACTTTTTCATTAGTAATACTAAACTAATACTTAGTTTAGGTATTTTTGTAGTTAATGTCCAATACTGGTTTTCCTGCCTCCGCTCTTTTTCTATTTTGCCTGAGTGATTTGTCACTCCTGTGCTTAAAAAGACCATTTAGGGGTTCTTTATTGCTCTCTGGATAAAATACTTGTGCACTAGCAAGTCAGTTTTATCTTTTGGATTATACCTTTTTTTTTTTTTTTTTTTAAATATATCTTTATTGATTTCAGAGAGAGGAAAGGAGAGAGAGAGAGAGAGACAGAAACATCAATGATGAGGGAGTCATTGATCGGCTGCAGCCCACAAATCTGGGCATGTGCCCTGACCAGGAATCGAACCTTGATCGCCTGGATCCTAGGTCAATGCTTAACCACTGAGCCATGCCCGGCTGGGCTGGATTATACCTTTTTAATGGGGAGTGGTTGCAACAGTACCTTAGGGAAGATTCTCAAGTATCAGCCGGAAAGAGTGCGGAGAAGCAGGATTGCCAGCATGAGTGTTCCTTGCAGTTTCCATCCTTGTGTTGTTTAGCAAGACAGGATCCTTTATGGTCCTATTTACATTCCAGTGATTGTAAGTAGTTTCCTGCAAAAAGCACTGATAGTTCATGTCTGGATGTTTTGTTTACACAGTGTTCCCTCAGTATGGAATGGCCTTTTCTAGTCCTACTTCTACACCTTCTTTGAAACCTTTCCTGATTCCTTGTTCCTCATACCCCGTCCTGTCCCTCCCAAAAAATCATTCTTCGCCACTGATTTATCTTACACTTTTATTGTGTGTGTTATACTTTATAATTATTCTCATGTATCTTCTATATTGAAAGTGGTTATCTTATGTACATCTCCAGAGTCTAACACAGCGATGGCACCTGGGAGACACATATTTAATGTTTGTTGAAAAGTTAAATTGTGTGAGCATTTTGTCCTGGACTATCTATTGAGTAACCCTTTCTTAGTTTGTGCTTTTCTGTTTTTATTTTCTATCAGAACCATCAAATTTAGGCACATCTGTGAGTGAAAACAGGAGTCACCTTGAAGGTGGGAGTAATCAAAAGGTAATTTTGAAATTAATTCATTCTAGTAAGATTCTTGGAAATTGGAAAGGTTACTAAAACTGAGAATTAACTTTCTGGTGTTACAAGTTAAGATGTGTGTCTTTTTTCCCTTGAATGCTTAGGATTCTGTGCAAGAGCTGCAGGAAGAGAAACCTTCATCTTCAGATTTGGTTTCTAGACCATCTACCTCATCTAGAAGGAGAACAATTAGTGAGACAGGTATTTTTGAATATTTGTCATTTTCAGACAGCTTTTTAGTGTTCATTTTCTAATGAAATTAGCACATTTAGGCTTAATGAAATTGTGCTTTTTTATTTTTATTTAGGTGAATGAATTTCTGAGTTTCATTCTTAGTTTTATGTGGTTTATTTGGTTTAAAAATTGCTCTCTTGGCAACATTTTTCTGGTTGACCACAGCAGGCATGGTTTCCTTTGCCCCCTGGATTTTATAGTTAGCCAGCTTCCTAGTCAGGATAACAGAGGACAAGGAGATAAACTCTGTTTCACTCATTGTTCTTAGTCACCTTAGCAGTTAAAGTATTTGTTTCTAATAAATGATAAAACATCAGTGAGTTTGAAAACAGCAAATAGCGTCTTAGAAATAAAGACAAGATAAAGAAAATAGTTGAGAATTTGAGAGGCTGTTGCCTAATCAGAAGTCATCATAACTAAAACTATATGAATCAGGTGAAAGAAGATCAGTGACGTAGAGAAACCCAGATTAGAATCTTGTACATAAGGACAGAGGATGTCTTATTAAGTACATGGGGCTGGAACAAAAAGGTTAGTTATTTGGGGGGAAATTCGATTTGTATTTGTAACTTATGCTGAAGTGAATTCCAGATGTACCTTCTAAGTATATTAAGCATTTTTCAGAAAAAAAAGTCTTGTATCTTAAAGTTTGATTTATGACAGAAATCCTAGATTATTTGTTTAATATAAACTGTGGATAGATTAAATTGTGACTTAATGGAGATAATGTCCTGAAAGAACTTTAAAAGGCTTTTAAAAATAGTTCTCTGGACAAATCCAATGAAACATTGTTGACTTTTGAAACAGCAGTTTAATTTTATTGGAACTAAATTTTAGTACAAACAGGTATCTCATGACAGCTCAGTTTCTAAATAAATCTGTGTAGCAATTAACTTGTTTTTCCTTACATATCCAGAAGAAAACTCAGATGAATTACCTGGTGAACGTCAAAGAAAGCGCCACAGATCTGATAGTATTTCCTTTTCCTTTGATGAAAGCCTTGCTCTGTGTGTAATAAGGGAGATACGCTGTGAAAGAAGCAGTAGCAGTGAATCAACAGGGACCCCATCAAATCCGGTAATCTTCTTGTTTAAATAAAACGACTTATTTTAATAATACTATTTTTTAAAATCTAAGTTTGGCAGTTCTAATATTCAGGTAGAATGCACATATATGATATGCAGTTGCTACTGTACACAGTGGTACATTTTTTTCTCCTCTTTTTTCTTTTTTTTAATATTTATAAAAGTTGATTTAAACCAACCTGGTGCCAATATGCCAGGGAGCAAGATCTCAAATGCTCCTGGTAAGTTTTTTTCCAAATAAACATATGTAGATCTTTATCCCAACCCCAGGTTTGGGGAGAATGGTGTAAGGTAGTGGAGTTGCATTGAGATGTGTTGGTAAAATTAGTACCAATATTAATAGTTATTAATGTCACCCTATATATTGGAGAATCTTGCAGGCCACAATACTAGTAGTAAATTCAAATAAATTAGAGTATAGGGTAGTCTGAGAATTTAGAAGTTTTGTGTGTGTGTTTTTTTTTAAGATTTTTAAATTGATTTTTAGAGAGAGAGAGAAACAGTGGTATGGGAGTATAACGTTGATCGGTTGTCTCCTGCACACCCCTGACCCGGGATTGAGCCCCAACCCGGGCATGTGCCCTGTCCAGGAATCCAGCTGGCAACCCTTTGGTGCATGGGATGATGCCTAACCAACTGAGCCAAACCAGCCAGGGCAGAATTTAGAAGTTTTTTTTTTTAAAAAAATAAGGTAACAAAAATGAAAATTTGATTCAGTTAGATATTTTAGGATTCTAAGGCAAATTTGTCTTGACTATTTAGAATAAAAATATTATTTTTACTATAGTTGCCAGCAAATAAGTTGGCAGAGTCTGAGCTTCACATTTGCCATATGTAGATCTAGACATCAGGAAAGTCTGTTTACTAGTGCTGTGAAATGGGTATATTATTGCATGGATGACAGATACCAGTACTTTTTGATTGATAAAAATTCCAAAGTATTAGCCAGGAGTAAAATTCTTAAGAGATGTCACTGAAAGGAGTTCTGTGAAGTTTTTGCTAATAAGAGTACTTGGAAAATGGAATATTTTCTTGTCATTAAACATTGGTCTTTAAAATTTTATTAAAATGAGAACATTTGTGATATTGCAGTGCCTCGTGGTCCTTATTCTGGATCTGAGTGGTTATTTTTTAGTTCTCTAGAAGATGTAAGGGACTGAACCAGTTGTGATAGTAACCCTATTCTTTTTATGTATTCTTGTTGCTTGTATTTGTTTTTCTCTTCCAAAGCAGTTATTTTGTGGATATAGATGTGAACACTTCAGTTAGTATTTAGTAGAGCTGTTACTTATGTAGGCCACTAGATGGCATGGGTAGAGCAAGTTTATTCAGTAGATATTTAAGTGTCTTTTCTATGCCAGGTTCCATTTGGGGAGATACACCATCAGTAATTAAATAATTAAAACATTTAGTAAATGCTGTGAAAAAATATAGGTTTTTGAAAGCAGATATGTGTGATCTGAAAATTGAATCCATTAAAAGAAAACTTGATGTGTATACAAACTTCATGTTCGGATAATTGTATTCCTTACAATGTCCCATTAAACTTAGTTTTTTAAAAAGTTGTTTGAGAATTCTAGGTAAATGATATTTAAAGTCCTTGTTGCTTTCTACCTGGAACCACTGCCTTATCAAAGCAATGTAGAGGCAATTCCTTTTGTTTTGTTATTTCTATCCTACACTTTCTTCAAAAATTCCTTTCTATTAGAAATCTTGTTTTTCAGGTTAAGTCCCTAGTTGTGAAAGCTTTTGGTAGGGCAATTTTAAAATTTATTTTACTTCATATAAGAATGTTATAGTCATCATTTGGTCTCATCATTTACCAATTTGTAAATGGAGTTAAAGGAAAATGTATTTCCCTCCCATCTTTTCTTTACAGTTTAACAAATTTCTGGAACCAAGGCTATATATTCTAGGCTCTATACCAGGCAGTTTACATGATATTTTATTATCTCAGCAGCTTCAAACTTTATTTATAGATCGGAAAACTGTGACTCAGGGGTTTCAAATAATTTAAGATCCCTTAACTAATAACTGTCACAAGTGGAATTCAGATAAAACCAGGGATTTCTGACTTAAAAATGTAATATCTTTCTAAATCAAGCCTGTCTGGTGCTTTTAAAATATACAGTATTTAAAGTTTCTGGGTCATTCTCTTTAGAACATTAGCCAGAACTTTTAAAAACTTTTAATATTACTTTTTTCATAGTGCCCTAGAACCAGGGTGGGCAATTTTTTTCTGTAAAGAGCCAGATACTAATATTTTGGGCTTTGTAGGCCATATGGTCTCTGTTGCAACTACTCAACTTTTGCCATAAGGCAAAAGCAGCCATAAATGACAAGTAAATAAATACACATTGCTGTAATCAATAAAAGTTTATTTATAAAAATTGCTGTGATCAGTAAAGCTTTATTTATAAAAATAGATGGGTGCTGGGCCAGTTTGCTGATTCCTGCCATAGAGGATGCTTTCTGGGACTTAGTTTTTCTTGTGATTTACCCTCTTATTCTAAACTTAGTGTACTAAAGACTACTTCATTGAAATACTGTATCCAGTGTGTTGGGTTACTTTATTAAAAATATTGTAGTCTACCTTGACTTCTGATTTTATCCTGATTGTTAATAGAGCCCTTGTTAGGAATTAGAACTGCAACTTGATGAATGCTGCTTTTACTACTGCTTTCTTAACCTCACTTAAAAAAACACACCAGTATTTTGACTTTAGTGGTTATAAAATAATATACTTTGGCCCTGGCCATTGTGGCTCAGTTGGTTGGAGCATCGTCCTGTACACCAGAAGGTGGTGGGCTCAACTCCTGGTCAGAGCACATGCCCAGGTGGCAGGTTTGAGCCCCAGTCAGGGTGTGGGTGTGTACTGGAGACAGCCTATAGATGTTTCTCTCTCACATCCTCTCTCAAAAATCAATAAAATAAAACAATATACTTTGTTTTTGTTTTTATAAATGATGGAAACCTTGTTAGAGATCATTTAATTTAAACTCCTTTCATAGATGAAGTAACTGTTGCCTTTATATGTTAAATATGTCCAAGGTTTAATAGCTACTTAGTGGCAAACCTAGAATAAAAATGTATGTATCCTAATTCCTAGACTTTATATACTTTGTCTAGTTCTAGCCTTTTGCTTTGCATGTGTTCCTACCCTTAGCCACTGACAGCAAATACTAAGACTGAAGGTCTTATTAGGTTCTTATCCTAGTCTAAATTTTTTTTGGATTTCTAATGACTGAAACAAAAAAGATTTAAACTACAGCTTCTGGAAGAACCATTTGTTCTTGCAGGTCTTCGGACTTGACCTTGGCCTCCCATTGGGACTTGCATTTCAGAGCAAGGTCTTTGGAGATGTCCTTGTTGACAACAGTTTTGTCCAAGGGGATACCCACAGAGTACTCTTGTGGGCATGAGGTGATTGTAGTTATAAACTTTCACAAAAGACTTGATTTTTGTCTTGCTGGCAGTTTTCTTCTTGCCCATGGCAGCTGTCAGTTTGCAGCGACAGCAGTCAATTCCAGCCACCAGAGCATGGCTGTAGGGGCTGTCTAATGTGCTGTCATCGGTGTTCACGTCTGGCCAGGAACAGGATCAGTGTTCACATCTGACCCGGGTTGCATAAACTTGCCCATTTATACAATAACCACTCAGGGCTACAGCAGAAAGGAAGTTTTTACACTATTAGTTAGAGACCTAAAATGAGGGATCACATTGGCAGATACAGAATTTTTTTCTGAAAATTTTTTTGAAATAGCTTTCAAAAAATTATTTCTGAAAGCTCCTCCAAAGAAATTCTCAGAGTTCATTATAAAACATAAATCTCATAATTATTGTTGTAGCTACTAGCATCCTTCCAATCTGAAGATATAAAGATGATTAAGACACAGTCTTAACTTTTTTTTTAATCCTCACCTGAGGAGTGAGGGTATTTTTTTCATTGACTTTAAGAGAGAGTGGAAAGGGGGGGCGGAGAGAGGAAGAGAGAGAGAGAGAGAGAGAGAGGAGCAAGGGACACATTGATTGGTTGCCTTCTGCAACGCCCCAACCCATGGTGGGGTTTGAACCTGCAACCCAGGTATGTGCCCTTCATGGGGAATTGAACCTAAGACCAGTGCACCACAGGCTGATGATCTAACCACTGTGCCATGCCAGCCAGGGCAACTTTTTAAAAAAATCCTTATCCAAGGATATGTCTTTTAATTGATTTGAGAGAGAGAAGCATTGATGTGAGAAACATCAATCAGGTGACTCCCACATGTTCCCTGACTACAACCTGGGTATGTGCCCTGACTAGGAATCGAACCCACTACCTTCTGGTGTACAGGATGACATTCCAACCAACTGAGTCACACCAGCCAGGGCCATGGTCTTAACTCTTAAAGTGAGCATAATTCAGATAAGAAACAAGTGTTCATAATTATGTTTCACGTAATATGTGTGGGGAAATATAATAAGTAATATATAAGTAGTAAAAATAATAAAATAAAGTAAAATAAAAATAATAAAAATAATAAAATAATAGTAAAAATAAAATGTTCATAGAGTTTTTTAAGATATGATTTGACAGAGACTTTGGCAAAAAAGGATGAGCAGGTCTTAAAAACTAACGCAGTTAGGGAAGGTGGAAGTTGAAGTGCCAAGTTTGGTTGAGGAAACAACCTAGATCTGGCTGATAATTAATATTTATGGGAGGAAGGGAGTGTCTTGTTGGAGATAAGCTGAAAATGTTAATATAATCATATTGTATTATATGTTGAATACCAAGGAGATTTGCCCTTTTTCCTAAATGAGGTGTTTTTTCAAAATGTTAAATTCAGTCTTTCTTTAAAAAAAAAATCTTTATTGGTTTCAGAGAGAGGAAGGAAGAGGGAGAGAGATGGAAACATCAATGATGAGAGAGTCATTATCGGCTGCCTCCTGCCCGACGCCTACTGGGGATTGAGCCCGCAACCCAGGCATGTGCCCTGACTGGGAATGGAGCCATGATCTCTTGGATCCTAGGTCGATGCTCAATTGCTGAGCCATTCCAGCTGGGCTATAATGAGGTTTTGAACAGGGAAAATGATGTAGTAATGACCCAGAATCTTAATCTAGTGTCAGTGTGCAGGATAGAACTGAGGAAGAGTTAGGCACAGGGATGATTTAGGAAGCTGTTACAGAGGCCAACAAATAATGTACAATGTCACTTTTTTTTCCTCGATGTTTCTAGGATCTTGATGCTGGTGTAAGTGAACCATCCGGTGATTGGATGGATCAAGATTCAGTTTCAGATCGATTCAGTGTAGAATTTGAAGTTGAGTCTTTCAATTCAGAAGATTATAACCTCAGTGAAGAAGGACAAGAACTCTCAGATGAAGATGATGAGGTAGTTTTATTTTCTGTAATTATTATCTAAAATTTTTAAAGTATTTTTCATATTTGTTGACTTATGACATTGAAATAATATATTCAGATTTCACTTTAAATACTTGAGTTTGATTTGTTCAAACTAGAATATTGTTACGTGGACTTCAGGCTTTGTAATTTCTTGTCTGATATATATATATTTTTAAATTTATCTTTATTGTTGAAAGTATTACAGATATCCCTTTTCCCCCTCATTGATCCCCTCCACCCTGCATCCACCCCCCCAGGCCTTCACCATACCAATGTCTGTGTCCATGAGTTATGCATATATGCATATAAGTTCTTTGATTAATCTCTCCTCACCCACTCCCCAACCCCTGCTTTCCCACTGAGATTCATGTCTGTTCCATGTTTCTATGTCTCTGGATCTATTTTGCTCCTCAGTCTATTTTGTTTATTAGATTCCACATATGAGTGAGACCATGTAAAATAGAATTAGGAAGAATCAGAAAACCTGAATAGGCCAATAACAACTGATGAAATGGAAGCAGTAAAAAAAAAAATAACTTCCAGCAAACAAAAGCCCTGGTCCTGATGGCTTCACAGGGGAGCTTTCTAATTCTTTAAGTTGTTGGGTTAGATAGTTTACTAAAAATGTTTCTTGCTTTTTGAGGTAGTCCTGTAGTGTTATGAACTTCCCTCTTAGGACTGCTTTTGCTGTGTCCCATAGATTTTGGGTTGTCATGTGTCATTTTCATTTGTTTTCAGGAAGTTTTTGATTTCTTTCTTGATCCTATTGGTAACCCATTCATTGTTTAATAACATGCTATTTAGCCTCCGTGTGTTTGAATGTTTTTACTATAGTTGATTTTTAATTTCATGTCATTGTGATCTAAGATGCTTGATATGATTTCACTCTTCTTGAACTTATAGAGTCTGGTTTTGTGTCCTAACATGTGGTCTGTCTTTGAGAATGACCCACGTGCATGAACGTATATTCTGCAGCTTTGGGGTGAAATGTCCTATAAATGTCAATTAGATTTATCTCATCTAGTGTGCCATTTAGAGTCACTGTTTCTGTGTTGACTTTTTGTCTGGAAGATCTATCCAGTTAAGTCAGTGGGGTGTTAAAGTCCATGACTATGACTGTACTGCTGTTGATCTCTTCCTTAAAGCCTTTAAGGTTATTATTGATAGGTCCTTATTTATTGCCATTTTAATTCTTTATGCCTGTGTTTCTCTATTTCTTGTTATTACAGCAGTACCTTTAACATTTCCTGCAATGCTGGTTTGGTGGTGATAAACTCCTTTAGTCTTTTTTTGTCTGGGAAGCTCTTTATTTCACCATCTATTCTGAATGACTGAATGATAGCCTTGCTGGATAGAGCAGTCTTGGTTTCTGATCCTTGTTTTGCATTACTTTGAATACTTCATGCCATTCTCTTCTGGCCTGTAAAGTTTCTGATGAGAAGTCATCTGACAGCCTTGTGGGAGCTCCTTTGTAGGTAAAAGGTTGCTTTTCTCTTGCTGCCTATAATATTCTCTCTTTGTCTTGAATTTTTGGCATTTTAACTATGATGTGTCTGGGCATGAGCCTCTTTGGATTCTTCTTGCTTGGGACTTTCTGTGCCTCTTGAACTTGTGTGACTTTTTCCTTTACCAGGTTAGGGAAGTTTTCTGCCATTATTTCTTCAAACAGGTTCTCTAACCCTTGCTTACTTTCAACCTCTTCTGGCATTCCTATAATGCAAATATTGTTACATTTCATGTTGTCCCACAGCTCCCTTAAACTGTCCTGTTTTGAGGTTTTTTAAAAAAAAATATAGCTTTATTGATTTAAAAGAGAGGCGGCAGGGAGAGGGAGAGAGATAGAAACATCAATGGTGAGAGAGTCATTGATTGGCTGCCTCCTGTGTGCCCCCCATTGGGGATTGAGCCTGCAGCCAGGACTTGTGCTCTGACCAGGAATTTTGAACCTCTGTCTCCTGGATTATAGGTCAGTGGTCAACCTCTGAGCCATGCTAGTTGGGCTGTCCTCTTTTTTAATTGTTTTTTCTTTTTGGATCTCTGATTGAGTAATTTTTTTTCTACCCTGTCTTCTAATTCACTGATCTAATCCTTAGCTTGTTCTAATCTGCTGTTTATTCCTTCCAATGTATTCTTTATTTCTGCTATGTCATTCTTCATTTCTGACTGGTCATTTTTCATAGTTTCCGTATCATCTTTCATGCTGTTGAGCATCCTTACAATCAGTAATCTGAACTCTGTATTTGATAGATTGCTTATCTCCATTTCATTTAGCCCTTTTTCTGGAGACTTCTCTTCTTCTTTCATTTGGAGCTTTTTTTTTTTCTTCCCCATTTTGGCTGCCTATTTGGGTTTGTTTCTACATATTAGGTAGGCTTGCTAGGACTCTCAGTCTTTTTGGAGGGTCTCTGGTGCACGCCAATGTCAAACACTGTTTGTGACTGGCCTTGAGGTCCCCTCTGTCGGGGCTGGGTGCATTTGGACAGGATCAAGATGCACACCAAAGTCTGCTTTTCCAAGGCCCAGGTCCAGAAGCAGATCAGGCAAAGACTCAAAGCACTCTGAAGTCTGCCTCTGCCTGCAGGCTGATTAATCTGATTCTCTTAATGAGCTTCAGGCTGTAGAAACTCCAGGGGTAGGGTGAATGGTTTTCCAGCAGGGTGGGGTAATTGCTTCTCCCTCAGGCAAAAGGTGCTTGGAAGGTAAATGTCTGCCTGAGAAAGATGTCCTCTGCAGTATGGGAGAATGATTCAGCACAGGAATCCAGAGGGGTGGCCTTGAGCTCTATCTCCAGAGCCTGCAACACTAGATTCTCCTCACAGAGCTCCAGTCCACTCTGCCCGTCCTTTGCTGGAGCCCAAGGTGCGTGGCTGCACACAAAACTTTGTGCATTGGCTCTTTAAGAGGGAGAGTGCCTGCATTTCCAGCCGTCTCTCCCTGGCAGACAAAAACCCTGCTGTTTTTCACAGCCAGATGTTATATGTGGGCACCTTTCTCAGCTCTGGTGCTCTTGGCTGGGAAGCACAGCCTGGGGTTTAGGCCCCAGAGTCCTTAGTGGGAACCCCCCACAGCTGAGATATCCCTCTGGACCTTCAGCTGCTGCTTGTGGGAGCCCAGCGAGCCCTCTTGCACCTCCACACTTCCTGCCAGTCTCTATGTGGTCTCCACTTTTCCTCCTTGGTTATGATGGTGCCCTCCAGCTCGTCTTCAGTTGCAGTTGATTATTCAGGATGGTTTTTCTATATTTTAGTTGTAATTCCAGTTTGGTCCTGGGAGTCAGTGTAGCTTCCACTCAGCCTGCTGCTGTCTTTAATCTCTCCTGATTTATATTTTTATAAATATGCCAAGAAGTAAGTAGACCTGAATGAGCATTGTTATAATAGTCTGCTCATTAAAAATACTTAATTTGGCTCCCCTCTATTAGTGTTAATTTACTTTTTATAAAAGTGAAGCATGCGTGCAGTTATATAAAGTCACATAGTATCTCTAGATCTGTTGCCTACATTTCTAGCTGTTTCATTGTTATTTAATAATGTTTACAAAATAAGATGCTTGTACTGAGTATTTTGCTTTATTCATTTTAAATATCCTATGTGACTTTTTACCATATTGGCTCAGGATTTCCCTAATCTCCATTTCTCCCCTTTTACATTCCCTCATTCCATTTGACCTTTGTCTCAGAATTTCTTATATATAGTAGTACATGCTATTTCTTTACAACTTACTAAGAAGCCTTCTTGGTAGAAAAAATAATGGATTTATTTTATTAGGTATATCAGGTTACTGTGTATCATGCTGAAGAGAGTGATACAGATTCATTTGAAGATGATCCTGAAATTTCCTTAGCTGTAAGTATACGTCTATTTTTAAGGTGTCAAAAAATTACATTGAAGTCAAGATTAGAATCTGTCTAGTCTACTTCCCCGTCAGGCAATTTTTATAAAGTTAAAATCTTTAAAATTTTAATGATTGAAAGCATTTTTGTTCTTTTATTCATTATGTTGGGATCTGTTGCTACATTTCTTTAGTTTTTTGAGATGGAATTTGAACTTTTAAAGAACATTATTATGGAAGGTGATCTAAGATGGCGGTAGAATAGGCAGAAGGTACACCCACCTCTTCCCAGGACTAAACTGGAAATACAGCTAAAATATAGAGCAATTAACCTGAATAACCAACTGAACACTGGCTCAAGGGAAGTCTTATAACCAAGGATTTATGGAATAAGCCACATTGAGACTGGTAGGAAGGACGGAGATGCAAAAAGGGCTGGCCCTGCTCCCATGGGCCGCAGCTGAGAGTCTAGAGGGATGTATCAGCTGCAGAGGTTCCCCTTTAGGAGCTGGAGTCTCAGTCCGAAGCCAGCCCTCCAACCCAGAGCACCAGAGCCAGGAGGAGGTGCCCATATAACATCTGGCTGTGAAAAGCAGTGGGATTTCTGTCTGCCAGGGAGAGGTGGGATTCTGCTAGAAATTCAGGCACCCTCTTAAAGGGCCAACACACAAAATTTTGTTCACAGCCACTCACCCTGGACTCTGGAGGAGGGAGAGTGGAGCAGACTAGAGGTGTGTGAGAAGACGGGGGTGAGAGCTAAGGGGACAACCGCTGGGACCTCCTGTGCTGAGTCCCTCTTCCTCATCACAAACCCTGTCGTTCTTGGGTGGATTATGCCACTCCATGCAGCATCTGCCTGGGAGAAAGCAATTGCACCACCCTCTGTTCTCCTGGTGGGCTCACCCTGTGGAGCTTCTGCCCTGCTAAGGAGTCAGCAGCCTGGGCTGGGGCTTAGTGGTCTGGGCAGACTCAGGGTATGTCAGTGACTGAGTTGTGTGACTTGGGGGCAGGGACTGTTGCCATCACTTTCCGGTGATCCTGACTGGTGCCTCCCCTCACTGTAGATCCGATAATCCCATTCTCCTCGCTCTTGATGGCCCCACCCTCTTGACTCTTGGTGGTTCCACCCTGTCAAGGTCTGGGCATGATCCTGGACAGTGAGTTGTGTGACTCTGGGGTGAGGACCATACCCCCCAACTTTCCCCACACCTGACCAGGACCTCCCTCTCTGTGGACTCCCAGCAGCCCCTTCCTCCTGAGATCAGGCTCCTGGCAGAATCTAGGAAAAAAGACCTGAGTTGTGTGGCTCTCAGGAAATTTTTCTCTCACATGCCCAACCAGTGCAGAGCCTTCCCGTCACACTGCCAAATCTTAGTTTGTTTAGGCCTGATAAACTCTGCTTTCCTCACCCTGACTACTCCCTGAGACCCTGCCCACCACAAAGGTGTATGAGGACTCAGTGGGTGGCAGCTAGACTTACTATACCCTGGGACATTTGCTGAGTGGTCTCAGACCCAGCACTGGCACCAAGATTGAACCCATATAGATATGGAGAACAACGCTTCTTGCCCCTACCTGGGCACTCAGAACCTATTGCATGCAACTGGAGGACTGCCAGAGGTTCTTTTCAGTGGCTGAGGCTAACAGGTAGCCAGCAGGCAGAGGCAGGCGGAGGCGGACCTTGCGGTTTCTAGGGACTTTTGCTGACCAGCCCCCGGGTCCAATGCTGGTAAAAGCAAGCCTTGGCACACAACTTAATCCTTCCTGCACACACCCAGGCCCAGCAGAGGCAGCCACAAACCATGGATCACTTTGCAGCTCCAAACAGGTTGCCCAGGGCCAGTCATAGACAGCATCTGACATTGATCTGCACCAGAGTCCCTCCCAAGAGGCCTCACAGACAACATCAGAGCAGGATCCATTAAGCTTCACAAGTGGCATATCCGAAAGATGTTGGCAGGCACCAAACACTGATGAGCTGAATTCTGCTTCATGTGGTCAGCACCTGCACAGCAGCTTGTGCACTGTGGTCGGGATTGATCCTCACAGTCAGCCAACCTGAGGGTTGACTGCACACATGAATGGGCCAATAGCAATCAAGAGTCAGTTACAACAGGAGAGCCCACGTAACCCACACAAGGGACATATCTGGATCACCCAGTGCAGGTGATCAAGGAGACTGCGCCAATGGGTCCCACAGGACACCTACTACATAAAACCACCCTACCAAGACTAGGAGACATAGCAGATCTACCTAATACACAGAAACAGAGGAAGCCAAAATGCGGAGGCAAAGAAACATGCCCCAAATGAAAGAACGAGAAATCCCCAGGAAAAACGAAATGAAATGGAGGTAAGCAATTTACCTGACAGAGTTCCAAACAATGGATATAAGAATGCTCAGGGCACTTAGGGGGATAATGGATGAAATCAATGAGAACTTAACCAAAGAAACAGTCAATGTAAAAAAGGTCACAGAAACCGTAAAGAAGAACGCGTCAGAAATGAAGAGTACATGAGGAGGAATAAACAGTGGGTTGGATGGTGAGGATCAAGTCATGGATTTGGAAGACAGGGGAGAAGAAAACGCCCAGTCAGAGCAGCAAACATAACATTACTATGGAAAACGTCACGTATGTACAGCATACACAATAGCTCAGGTATACTTATCACCAGCCTCTAATAGTTACCAAAATTTGCCAGTCTTGTTGATTATAAACATTTTTACATTATTTGTATTAGATATGCCATTAAAGAAATTAAGACTTAATATTACATGCTTCACTGGGTTCCTGAGGTATTGGAAGTTTTTTTAACGGAATATTTGCTTTAATTTCTGTTAATATTGCCTTTTATATTTGAATAGGAAATCTAACTTTTCTTTCTGAGTTGAAACAATTATCCAGATGCAAAAGTGAAGTTGTAAAATTTCTGAAAATTTTTTTGCTATATTAGAACATAATTCAAGTAATTAGACTCATTTGATGTCAAGTTGAGTGCAGTGTTTCAGATACAGATTTTGCAAATTTTGGGGCTTTTGGAAGCACCCCCAACCCCTGATATTACAAGACCTTTGTCTGGTTTTATCAGTTATAAGAAACTTACTTCAACTTGAAAAAACCAATGTGAAAGAATGAACATTCTCAACGTTTCTTGCTAATGTCTTATGTCATTTGTTAGGCAATTTAGATATGGTTACATTATTCATGGCAAGATAGGCAGGACCTTTTATGGCAAGTGTTACGTATAGTATCCTCAGGCAAGAACCGTGATTCAGTTAAGACAGGGAGATGGGGATGTTAGGGTAGTTCCTTATCCAGACTGCATGGTGAGAAGGTTTGAGAAGTAAGTTGGGATAGGGAAAGCAATGAGCACTTACAGAGTTGAGAACATGGGGAAGGCTGGACAAGTAAGGGGCATACATTTTGGATAGTGACAAGGATGACAGATTTTAGCTGGCAGTGATTGTTGAAGAATGTTTCAGCATTGCTTTTGTGGGTGAATTTAGGGAACACTCAGCGGAGAGCCCTGGTTTTAGACTACTTCTAAAGGAGTCAATGGCAGATTGAGTGGTCATTTCATCTAGATTGATTGGGTGGACTCGGGCACTGTCCAGGGTTGAGGCTTTAAGGGAGTGGAGTGGGTATAAGTCTCATTACAGAATAGATTTACCCCATAGCATTTGTTTTAACTCACTGAACCAGCTGTGTATCTGTGTCCTCCAACAGATAACTCTATAGGTGCATGGTTAAGAGTTTAGCTAGGAAAAAGTACTTAAAAATTTCATACTTGAGGAAAGACTGTTTACTTGTTGAATGTTTTATATAAACATGTAATGCTGAAAATTGAGCTGTGTGATACATTTACCTTAGACATATTAATGTTACTGTTAATATGACTAGTCACTAAAGGGTTACAGAAACTAACTCTGTCTTATTTCACTGAAGGACTATTGGAAGTGTACTTCATGCAATGAAATGAATCCTCCTCTTCCATCACATTGCAACAGATGTTGGGCCCTTCGTGAGAATTGGCTTCCTGAAGACAAAGGGAAAGAAAAAGAAAACATGCCTGAGGAAAGCAAACTAGAAAACTCAACACAAGAAGAAGAAGGCTTTGATGTCCCTGATTGTAAAAAAAGTACAGTGTGTGATTCCCAAGAATCATGTGTTGAGGAAAATGATGAAAAGATCACACAAGCCTCCCAGTCCCAAGAAAGTGAAGACTATTCTCAGCCGTCGACTTCTAGTAGCATCATTTATAGCAGCCAAGAAGATGTCAAAGAGTTTGAGAGGGAAGAAACACAGGACAAAGAAGAAAGTGTGGAATCTAATTTTCCCAGTAATGCTATTGAACCTTGTGTGATTTGCCAAGGCCGACCTAAAAATGGTTGCATCGTCCATGGCAAAACAGGACACCTTATGGCATGCTTTACCTGTGCAAAGAAGCTAAAAAAAAGAAATAAGCCCTGTCCAGTATGTAGACAACCAATTCAGATGATTGTGCTAACTTATTTCTCCTAGTTGAACTGTTTAGAAAAGTAGCCTAGATTTGCCCTGCTGAGTGCCTCAGCGGTTGAGCTTTGATCTAGGATCCAGGCGATCTCCGTTCAGTTCCTGCTCAGGGCACATGCCTGGGTTGTGGGCTTGATCCCTGGTCTGGGGCATACAAAAATAAGTTCCACTTTCTCTTAAATGAGAAGTACAGTGTCTGATCTCTTAAAAAATATTTTGGAGATCCAAGGTGGTGGGAGACAAGGTGGATGTTACATTCACCTTCCAGGACCAAACTGGAATTATAACTAAAATGTAGAACAATCTGAATAACCAGCTAAAGTTTAGCTGAACAGAAATTTTATAACCAAGGACTTAGAAGAAGCCACATAGAGACTGAGAGAGAAAATGACTGACTTCAAGAAACCACCAGCCCCGGCCAGGTGGCTCAGTTGGTTGGAACATCATCCTGTACACCAAAAAGTGGTTTGTCCTGGTCAGGGCAAATACCTAGGTTGCAGATGCGATTTCATGTCAGCGCGGGAGGCAGCCAATCAATGTTTCTCCTCCCCCACCCATTTAAAAATCAATAAAAGCATCCTCTGATGAGGATTAAAAAAAAAAGGCATATTTTATTTAAAAAAAAGGGGGGGGGGGGAAGAAACTGCCAGAATGCTACTGTAAACTCCCATTTCAAAGAAATGGTGTGGTGTTTGTAATGGATAAATTTGAAGAGAGAGCCAGTAGTAGTCTCATCTGTGACATTTCTGCTTCTGATAAGATCTTTTAAGAAAAAAATGCACTTTTTATTTTAACTTCCTACAACTGTATGGTTACCACTTGGTAATAAAAACAGCGCCCCTCCCCAATACTTTCAGGAGAACATTTAAAGTGTAACTTACTTAGTACCTTTCATGTAAAGAGAAAAGTTTGTGTAAAAGACTTAATATTTAAATTTTAGATATTCTTAAACCTTTTGATCCTTAGTTTCTGTTTTCAGAACCTGTTAAAATACTCTCCGAACAAAAAAGAAATTGGCAGTTATATTTGCTCTGCCAGTAAAAATGTTCTTGTCCAGCTTTGGTTTAGTAAAGGATAGGTGGTAATGTCAGTTTGAGAATAACCATCCTTTACCCACAGACAAAACTTTAAGACTCCCTAGTACAATGTGGACTTGTCCTAGGCATCTTAACCTATATGTCAGGCTCTTTTTCACACCTAATTTCATGATTTAGTGCAATCTGTTGTTTAAGTTGAAAAATTGTTAAGGCACTTTGAAGTGCCTTCGTGGGCTGGGTTTCACAGTTCCTGGTAGTTAGGTTTCAGGCCTTTGCTTACGCCCAGTTTTGGAACCAGTGAATTGACAAAGAGTAATTAAGAAATTTAATAACAGCTGGAAATGTCATAACTTTGCTCTGAATAGTCTAGAAGTTTTGCATCACGTTTCATCAAGAATGATAGGATCAGAACAAAGGATTCCAAACTATCTCAAACTGCATAGGTTAACATCTTGATTTATATTTAAATATGAATCTTTAGCAAAATAAATTACCACTTTGATTGAAGGTCCCCGTGTTTTACTCCCGTGTATGACAGTTGTACACCCTCAGGTAAGACAGTAAAATCGACTGAACTGTGTGTAGAATAGAACTGAAGGATAATTTCACACAGCAAGTTTGTGCCAGTTACTAATTAAACTGTAAAAACAAAACTGCACACGTGCCTTACCCATGTATACACATGCAAGTAGGAAACAAATGGCTGATGCAGTTATTACCTTAGCCATAGAGTGGCCCTCAAATACAGTAAAGCTTTATTAATTTGGGATTTGTAATACTTCAAGTATAGAACTAAGTAGAATTAATCTTTTCTGAGGAGAGTTGGTAGTAAAAATGAGATTATAAACACTACATTTAGGGTATGTTAATGCAATGATTGTGCTATTTACAGAACATTGGTAGTAAAAATGAGATTATAAACACTACATTTAGGGTATGTTAATGCAATGACTGTGCTATTTACAGAACATTCAGATCTGTGCAAATAGTGTCTTTCAGGCCTATGCATTGCTAATGTAGTCTTGATTGTCTAATCAAGTTTTGGTTTAGTATACTTAAATTTATTGATTTACAAGTTAAGGATTTATTAAATGTTTAAGAATTGTTTAAAGAATGTGATTATTGGATCTCAAAAACACAGTATTTTCCCATAATAATGAGTCTTGTTAAAACAGAAATTATATTTGAATACCATCTGTTTGTGTAACCAGAGGTACAAGTCTGAATATGCTTGGTTTTGGAATGGCCACGCCTGCCCACTTTGGAGGTACACATATCAGTGAGCAACCTGATGTAATTGGGAGCCTCCAAGGTACTGAGTAAGGCCAACTTGAGAGAATGTTAAATTTTAATAGGGCCATGAAATGTGTTTCCCCTCATCCTGTTCACATGGTACCACATTTCTTTCTGGTCGTCTTATGTGGTTTCTCAACAAGTAATAGTGAACTGTCTCTCCTGGAAGAGATGTAGCCTGGGCAGGGAGGGGCTAGCTAGCCACTGTGCCACTTGTCAGCATGAAAAATCCCTATTGTGATTGCCTGTAATTTCTTTGGGTCATGTACGAAACTACATTCCTGAGGCCAAGAACCTCTTGATTGGGATACACATACAGGTGCTCAGTAAGAATTTATTGAATGAGTCAAAGCACTGGGACTGGAGTCTTGAAGCTGACTTTAAAGCAGGAGCCTGTGGGCCCCCAAGCCAGACTAGGGTTAGCTGTTGGCATCATTTAGTTTAGATTTTTATTTTTAATAAGGGTTCTAAAGACACTGATTAGTGTAGGTCTGTAGGCTAGTGACGATGACTGCAAGTTATGAGGTGCATTGTGAGAAGTTTGTAGTGGCACTTTATGGTTGGTTGGGTTCTGAACTGGGTTTTGATTTAGCATTTACAAAAATTTCTTCAGCTTAAAAAATACCCGTTGTTTAGATTGTGGCCATATTGTCTAGGATATAGCCCGCTTTCAATTATATGTAATAGGGAATTTTTGACATTTACAAATGATGTTTTAAAAGGATAAATATCCACTAGAAGGTGTTCAGAAGTGTTGAATATGTTAAATTGTAAAATGGACTGTAGCCAGTCTAATAAAAACCAAAAGAAAATAGAACAAGAGCAGTGTGAAGTGGAAAGCAGATGGAAGGTCCTACGAGTTCAGTAATTAATAGGTAATGCATTTGGAATGATATATAAAAGTATTGCTAGAATAATACTCTTTGGGATAAGAAAACCATAATTGTTCAATTTTTCCATTACTGACATGTTAGATGAATTTCATTTCTCAGCTAAATTTTAGTACTTTTGTGTGTTTTTAAAAAATGTTTTTATTGATTTTAGAGAGGAAGGGAGAGGGATAGAGAGAAACATCGGTTATCCCCTGCATGCTCCCTACTGGGGACTGATCCTGCAATCCAGGCCTGTGCCCTCACTGGGAATTGAACCAGTGACTGCTTGTTCGTGGGTCGACGCTCAACCACTGAGCAACACTGACCGGGCAGTACTTGTGTGTTTTTGATTCACACCCTAACCTAGGCCACACCTAGTATTGGGCCTTTTGTCAAGAACACAGTCACATCTGTCTAAATTGACTTCACCGCTTATGGTCTCCCCCATTTTTGGTTCATATATGGGAAAAAACTTTAATTTTATTGCTTGTTGGATATTATCTCAAATGTGCTGCCTGATCATTTTAGACTTCTAGAGCTCTAGGTGCTTCTTTTTCGTCATTCTCTCACCTTTTGTAGTGCAACAAAGTTCATTTGCATCCTGACTCTCCCAAGACTTAATTTTCATACTATGGAGTGGAAGGGGCTAAGTTCTAATAGCAAATCTGATACTTGCTTAGTGCCCTTAGAATTAGAGACAGTAAATGTATAATAGAGCCTAGGATTCAGTCTGGCAGGTAGTAACGACTTCCAATAAATCAGATGTTTAATCTCATTGCATCCATTCATGACCACAACTTCCAACACTCAGCTGAGGTAACCTTGAATTAGTCCTGTCTTTTTTCCCTGCATTGTCTCAGCTCAGCACTCTTCACCTTCACTGACATGCCGCTTTGTCCCCTGCCACAGCAGATGATTGTAGCATCCTTTCATGCCACCTTCCCCCGGGTGCATTGTGTGCACAGTAGGCATTCAGTAAAGGATATTGATTGGCAAGGAAAGCAACCATACAGTTTTTCCTAGTTTACAACAGGAAAAAAAGGCAGTTTTAAAAATCCTGAAAATAAGGAAGCAGTTATCTTTAAAAGTTGATAAGGTGTCAGAGTTGTAACATTTGGGAAAGCTTTTCTTAAAAAACGAAACATCCCTATTAAATACTTTTTCACCTTTTATCACAATCATTTTTTTTAAAGAGGCATGTGAAGATCAAATCTTTTTAGTTATGCATTTTTTAAACCACAAGGTGGAAGCACCACACTGGGTTCTTGATTTTGGACAGAATATTCCAGGAGAAATTGCTGGGCTAGAGAGAAAAATGAGAGTTCTGTTCCCAGTTACAGCAAGCTTCACATTTCAGTCCTGAAATCCTTCACTAGTTATCCTTCAGAACTTCATGAGACACCCACTATGCATAAAAATACTTCGCATTAGTGTTGAAAGGTCTTTGATCAATTTATTAACTTTGACCTAAGTTAATCACTAGTATAAAGTCTGAAAATTTTTAGTGAATATGTAAGGTGTAGCAATTGTGTAAACTGGTGCTTCTAAAATTTGGGGTTCCATTTTTTAAAGGAGTTGCTTTTCATTATAAAACTAGTAAATAGAAAATTTCAAAAAATGGACTAATCACTTGTTTATACTTCATTTTCTTTTACCTTTCCCCCTATGTTTAATATTTTAAAATGTAGTTGATTTAAAAATTGTACCTTGTTTTTTTGTGGGGGGTTGAGAGAAATGGATGTCTCAGTTGCAAATTTGAATATGGAAGTCTATCTAAAATATACGGGGACATTTCTGCAAATGAGTTCTTTTGGAAATAGGAAAATTGTTCCCAATTTATTTTCTAAATTGAAATGGTTATCACTTTTAGAAATTGATACCTTATGTAATTCAGCTGTTTCCTACTTGGCCTTTTCTCATTTAAACTTAACTTTTTTTAGCATGTTTCAGAGGGTAGACATAAACTCGAGCCCAACTTCTCTGTGACTGGAAATTTGATACTGGGTTTCCCTGATGAAGGGTAAGGGCTGTTTTCTAATTCCTGTAGGAGGCAAGTTAAATGTATGCTCTGTGTTTCAAATACACTATATTATTTAGGACATTTATTTATTTAGCAATTAGGAATAAAGGCTTCTCCCTATATCAACATTTCCCAAAATGTGTTTGGAAATCTAGGAAGGCAAGTTCAAAGGGATGGTACTAGGCTAAATTATTTAAGAAAATGGTTCCATGGCTATGTTTGGGAAATCCCATTTCTTTGTTGCATGATTTCTCAGACTCTTTAATACATTCATGTGCATTGTGAATTTTCCAAAGCTTTTTTTTTTTTTTTTTTTTTACCAGAAGGCACACTTTTCATTATCTACAAATTAATTTGGAATGTAATGTGAGTATATATCATAAACTTATGAAAGAATTACCTGGGCTTTGAAGAGTTATTGCAGTATTGTTCCATAAAAGGTCATTAAATTTGGTGTTTCCCAGGCTTGATTCAGTGGTAACCAGTTCTCTAGCATGTGGACTTTGTTACACTTGTGTAACTATTTATTTTCAAAGTAATGTAAAGAAACAGCATTCATTGTTTACATGAATATTAATTTATTGAGAATAAGAAACAGTCTACATTTACTGAGTTCAGAGGTAGTCATGGCCAATACCCAATAAAACTTTACAGTCTTAATTTGCTCACTTAAAGTTCTTAATTAGAAAGTCACCGAGAAAACTGAAAATCATCGTGAAACATCTATAAATGTGGAGTAGTTCATATGCTAAAGCCTGATAAACAGTTTGTAAGCAATACAGTACAATACCTGCTTATTAGTGAGAAAAAGCCTATAACAAAGTTAGACTTTCTCCAAACTTCTGTTTTAGGTGTTAAATTTTTTTCCTCTTTAACGATTTTCTCCCTTTCTCCCCATGTAAAGTCATGAAGATATAAGGGATCTGTCATAAAATAGATATTAACTGGTATTTTCACTGTGTACAAAGAAACTTTTCAGTAAGCAACTTACGCTGTTGCCATGAGACAATATGCTATGCTCATTTTTCTGGATTCCCAAGGAAAAGATATTTCCAATCAAGTGTCAGATATTTTTACTTTCTGAAGGCAGAACATGCAACCTTGCTTCTGGAACAGAATGTTGAGTACGCTCAACAGCTTGTCTGAATGTGACAAATGAGGCACCAGAATCAATACTGACACTTATCTGCAGGAGTTAACAACATTGCTTTAACCCCCACCACCTAGATTCACTAATTCTTACAGAATTTGAGTAGGTACATCAGTTACTTCATGAAAGTTTCCTTAAATATAATTAAATGATTATTCTAGCTAAACAATGTTTTCAGTTTTCAGACCAATTCTGTTTGTATCTGAGGCAAAAGATTTGGTCCTGGAAAAGTTACATTGCCTTTAAAATACCACTGAGTGTTAATTATCCTTCCTCCACCTGGGCAAGCACCAAAAACAGCACCTGTGTGGCTCTTACACCACTGCTGCTGACAGTCACAGAATCAGTCAAGCAGACGCCTTCATTTTACAGGTAAGGAAACAATGTGGGGTGGGTTTGAACCCAGAGCTCCACCTGCCCAATAAACATTTTATTTCCACGTACGTGCTATCTTTTCTTCTATCTTGAAAACCTTTAGCATATTGGTTTCTCTATAAAAGGAGTTATACCTGAACTTAGAATCTGAGGAACATACGAGAGAGGGGAAGGGCCTTAAATGCGGGGAGATGTGGGGATTTGGTCGGACGGTAGTCAGAATTCCATAGTTGTTTCTCCTCTTGGACACTTCACTGGATTAGTAGAGGGTGTAGCTGTATTTACTAAACCCTTGCTACAAACTGGGGCACAGCCATTGCTGAAAATATGTATCCCAAACCTCCTCTGAATTAAATTCAAGTTTGGTGTAGATTTGGTTTGGAGATTATTTTCATTGTTTTGCTTATATCTAAATAATTGATTCTGATAAAATTTCTGATTTAAAAAACATTTCCTTAACATTATGGTTCATGAACCAATCCAGATTTTGGTTCATGTTTCTTCAAAAATTGCTATCATAATTTTATTAACCAATGTCACCCCAATAAATTTAACAATAAAAGAATAAAAAATAAGATTAAAAAAGATAAAGAATTGCTATCTTGGAAAAGTTAGAACTCATAATGCCTGATTGAAAAATTGCTTAGGGCTTAATGGTAAATCAAGCCAAATTTCATTACTTTTATATGTAATATACCAAATCATTTTCTGCAATATATTAACATATACTTTCAAGTATAATGAATTATGGCTTATTTAAATAAAAATGATCAAGATATTTAGGTTATTACCAGATTTAAAAGAAGTGATTAAAAGATTACAAATTCTGTTTAAACATGTATGATTTTGTGTAGATAGAATAAGCTGGGCACAAGAATAGCTCCTAAAGCCCACATACCTCCCATTTGTGTATGGTTCACAGTCTTTCACCATGTACCAACCCCGGTATAGGTTCATTTTCTGTTTGACATTTCCCCTTAATTCTTACACATGTTTTAAGTTGGGTTAATCTTATTATAGTGGAGAGTAATTGCTTCCTGTTGAGTACTGATGGTAAAAATTTTGTTTTTCAATTAAAAAAAGGTAGCTATAGTGTTAACAGGTAACATAATATCTTTACTATGAACCTTAGGATAAATGCAAAGTCCACTGAAAGCACCGTATTTGAATTTATTTCTTGATACATATATGAAAAAACTTCAGTCAGTGTTACTAGGGAACTGGAAATTGCCAACGCATGGGATCTAGTTTCATTAAATGACTCGAAGCCCTCTACAGTTTCTGGGGGAGAGAGGGAGTAGTAGATTGCCGGAACCCTTTGTTCATTCTTTCAGTTCCTAATATGTTCTCTGAGGATATAAAAATGTATTTTTTAAAAAAATTAAATAGCCCCCGGTCCCAAAGAGCTCACACTCTACTAGAGAAAAATCCCTCCTGGAAGTAGAAGATTATAATAGTGTCATAAATCCGATAGTCGAGGAAACCAGTTTCATTTGGGGAGCAAAGAGGAGGGTCCCCCAGATTGACTGGGCGGGGGTGAAATGGGGAGGAATGGGATGACCGTCAGCAAAGGCTTCCTGGAGGAGTCGATGCCTGGACTGAGCTTTAAAGGAGGCGGGAGGAAGAAGATGTGGGTCAGGATGGCATTCCAGGCACAGGGGACACACGGCATTAGGTGTGTAGGAACTACAAGCAGTAGGCTGTGGATTTTTGTTTTAAAGCGACCCCCTTCCCCAGCACTGTGCGGAGGATGGTTCTGGAGAGGAGAAAGCTGGGAGCAAGAGACGGGGAAAGCCGTTACAGCGGTGCAGGTGAGCTGTGACGGCCGAAACGTGGCAGTGTTAGTAGCCGGGGGGGTGGGGTGGGGTGGGGTGTGTAGAATCAATCAGCACTTATAGTTAACATCAGTCTTTAGTGATGGACTGAATATATGGGATGATGACTCCCAGGTTTCCAGTTTGGTGGTGCCGGTAACTGAGAGAACACAGGCGGAAGAGCAAGTCTAGGGAGAAAAGTATGTTCAGTTTTCGACAGGAGTTTGAGCTACCTCTGGGTCACATCCAGGTGGATATATATCCAGTGGGCTGTTGGATGGGAGTCTGAAGCTCAGGCAAGAGGCAAGAATTACACATTTGGGGGTTATCAGCATAACAAGACTGTGGCATTCAGGTACAGAATGGCAGGGACACTTACTTAATTGACCCCTTGTTTTGGGACTCTGTCGGCACCACCTTCTCATTCCATTAGGCCCACATTTTCTTGGGCCACTGAGACATGGTTGCCTATCTTCTTTCATATTTCCTTAGAACATCTGCAAAACTAAATATACCTAGTCCTGTCAACATTTTTCCCTGCCCTGGGAACTATGATATATGGCACTCTCTCTTCATATATAGGACTCACAGCAAGGTGTGGCATATGATAGGTGATCAATAAATGTTCACGTTCATTGGTTATATCCATCTGTCTCACTCTATACAGAATTAGCTTCTTTTTTTTTCTTGCAGGAACTTCATTTTTGCTTCTCAAGTTTAACTTCTTACAGATTTTTAAGACAACTTTAAAATTCAGTGTAAGTGGGCAGTACTGGATAGGTGGGTGTCTTCCATTCATCATCAAGACTAAATCATTCCTTTCGTTATCACCGCACATTGCTTGTTGCAGGATTTGGAAACAACCATTTATCTTCTTAGGGAAGGACAGTGGAGTTTGTCCAGTTGTCCCACGGAGGGAGTTAGATTTGCAGTAACCTGGCATGAGTGATCCCTGATTCCAGGTGGTGATGGGGTTGAGTTTCACATTTTGCTTTATTTGAACAATATGTGAAAAAGAGTCACTAAAAATAAGAACAGGCAAGGCTTTGTTGCAGCTGAGTGGCTTGGCAAAATTCTGTATAGAGGAATCATAGGACATGGAGGATTTGATACTGGGATAGAATCCAATTGCCCTTGGAGTGGAAGTAAAATATCCTTTTTAAGAGCACTGAAGTCCTGGGATTTTTTTGGAATAATCACCTTTGTGAGGTGTGGCTCATGTCCAGGGACTGTAACCTGAGAAGAAACAAGAAACAATTACCTGAATGATTTCAGATGTTTTGTGGTGCCAACACTGAAAACACTAAAATGCAGCCTTTATGAAACACATGTAACAATCTGCCAGGCCTCCCAGGCTAGTAACCACTTCGGCTCTGCTTGTTGAAACAGTTATCCAATGTCTGTTGATATGAACCATAGTTGTTAATGCTGTTGCCAAGAATTACAAAGTGAAATAAAGACAGGTCCGTTATCTGGAGATGTAAGTCAGGAGAAGAAAGCAGCAGACTGATCCTGTCCCATCACTTCCATGGAGAGTAAAGGTAAAGGGTTCACTGTTTCCCTTGTCCCAAGTCTGTACTTAATATCCTGACTGGGTAGCAAGATTACTTATAAGTAGGATTTTTTTCTCAATTTATTTCATTTTCCTTGCAGCTGATCTAAGTGTACAAGTTTATTGCTTCCTTAAAAAACTTTGATTATACTTGTTTTTGTTCATTAGAGTCTGAATCTTCAGCTAGATTTGTGTTGTTGTTGTTGGGGGAACTGAACAGGAAAAAGAGAACAAATGCTGAACTAACTATAGATCATGCCTACTGAGAAATGCTGTCATTATATATGGTGAAGAGAGAGAGAATGGAGAATAACATTTACAAAACCATTCATTGGTGTGTATTTTAGCTGTGCATTTCAGCTTCCAAAGTCTTGCCTTCCAATCTTGTCCTTTAACTAGTCGCTAAAGCCAACATGTACTGTGTTAGTCTAATTGGAAATGAACTATTCATAACTATTCTATAAAGGTGAGGCATAGTTATGGGATTACATAAAGTAATTTAGATTCACTACAAGGAAAACCTCTTTTTTATAGAAATGTCACAGTAAATAACCGGGAAATAAAGAGCCTTTTTTTTATACAGAGTCTCAGTGAATTGAGGTTTTCCAGCTCTATCCACTCAGTGGGAGGAGAGATCGATGAGCTCCGCTGCTGGGCACTGTAGGAATAACTATGGAGCAGGGAGGCTCTGAATTCTATACTTTTATAAACTGAAAACCATGCCTTATTATGTCCTAAAGATGAAATAATGAGATACAAAGCCAGGGTTTCCTACAAAATAGACTACTTTCTCCTAGGAGTAGTTCTGCTCAGAACAACTTCTATGATTGACATTAGACCCACTAAGCAAAGTGGAAGAACCTTGAATTTCTTAGAGAAAAGTTATATCATCAAAGAGTAAGAGAGACAATCTGGCCAACTAAGTCAGGTACTTACTCATTTAGTTCATTTACATGAACCTACTTGGGTTTCAAACCAGTCCATGCTTCCTACCAGGAAGAAATGACCCAGAAACATGCACCTTAAATTAGAGTTAAAACCTGGAATTTTACTTGCATTGATTGGAAAACTCACTGTCATTTGCTTATGAAAGGACTGTAAAATATGTCCATTGCTTAATATAGTGGTAAATTTTACTTATAATGAATCCTAAAGAAATTGTGTCCAAATCTATTTTTTAATAGTAGAAATTATGTTTTATAAAATGGGCATTAAAATGGTATTTCATAAAGCTTACATGTACTATGACTACATTGTTTAATTATTATTAATAAGGTCTTTTCCCTTTTTTTATTATCATAAAAAGTATCACAAGAAATAGGATTTGGCCTTTATTAAAAAAAATTAACTGCCAGTTGGGGGAAAAACATGATTTTTTTGGTTTGTGCCTGTCATGCTCACCTCTCTCAGGCCCTGATGTACTACTTTTGAACTTTCCAGACTTATTTTAGATTCCTTCTGGGTGAGTAAATATTGTGAATTTTGTAATATTTTAATAACAATAACTAGGACTGTGTACTTACATTTAACGTATATGACCCAGGCAAGAGAAGAAGGTAATATTCTCCAAATTTGTTGGTTTTATAGGGGCAGATATGTTTTCTGTCTTGGACTTCTACAATTACATTGGGTAATGGATTTCCCTTATGATCAAAAACTTGACCCTTTACACCTGTAAGACAAAAAGATAATTAAATGTTAATACTATGTTTTATGGCATTTGAAAAAAAATTCTTGTAATTATTTAAGTAAAATAGGCCCAATATTTAATAGCTGTGCTGAGTTAATAAAATGTTTGAGAAGACAAACTTAAAAAAAAAAAATTGAGATATAATCAACTTATAACATATTAGTTTCAGGTATATAACATAATGATTTGCTGTATATATAGATTGTGACATGATCACCACAATATGTCTAGTTAACATAGTTACAATTTTTTTTCTTATGATGATAATTTTTAAGATTTACTCTCCTACCAAATTTCAAATTACAATACAGTATTCTTAACTATATTCACCATTCTGTGCATTACATCTCCAGGACTTACTTATTTTAGAACTGGAAGTTTGTACCTTTTACTGCTTTCACATATTTCTCCTACCCCCTGGCTCTGGCAGCTACCAATCTGTTCTCTGTATCTCTCAGTTTAAGATCAGGGGTGTGTTTGTTTGTTTGTTTTAATTCCACATAAGTGAGATCATATGGTATTTGTCTTTCCCTGTCTGATTTATTTCACTTAGCATAATGCCCTCAAGGTCCATCCACGTTGCAAATGGCAAGATTTTATTCCTTTTTATGGTTGGGTAATATTCCATTGTAAATATATACCACATTTTCTTCATTCATCCATTGATGGACACTTAGGTTGCTTCCATGTCTTGGCTATTGGATGTAACGTTGCATTTTTATACAATAATAACAAATTGTCAAGAAATTATCCCATTTCCAACTGCATCCAAAAGAATGAAACACCTAGGAATAAATTTAACCAAAGAGGTGAAAGACGTGTAGTCTGAAAACTTTAAGACATTGATGAAAGAAATTTAAGAAATCACAGGTAGATGGAAAGATCTTCCAGGGTTATGAATTGGAAGAATATTGTTAAAATGTCCATACTACCCAAAGCAATCTACAGATTCATGTAATTCCTTATCAAAATTCCAATGGCATTTTTCGCCGAAATAGAACAAACAATCCTAAAATTTATATGGAACCACAAAAGACCCCAAATAGCCAAAGCCATCTGAGAAAGACTAACAAGCTTGAGGCATAGCCCTTGGACACACAATAGAGAGGTGAAGGCCTGGGGAGGGGGTGGGAACAGGGAGGAGGGAGTCAAAGGTGGGGAAAAAACAGGGACATCTGTAATACTTTCAACAATAAAGATAAATTGTAAAATGTTTTATTGGTTCTTAGAGAGAGAAGAAGGGAGAGGGGGAGAGAGAGAGAAACATCGACTGGCTGCCTCCTGCACGCCCCCTACAAAGGGTCAAGCCCGCAGCCCAGGCATGTGCCCTGACTGGGAATCCAACCGGCAGCCTTCGGTGCCTGGGACGACGGCCAGCCAACCGAGCCTCACTGGCCAAGGCCACCATAAAATGTTAACCTTGAACATTAAGGAAGCTTCTGTCTGACCCAAGTTGCCTTTTACTTTCTTTCCTAATTCTTAACTCTTTATTTTCTTCCCTCCAGAGAAAGAATTATTAAATGCCACAGCTCCTTCTCAGTTTTTCAACACAGGTCCACTATGTAAACCTCTGCTTTCATGTAATGTTTTCCTCTTTTGCATCTTTAAGATAATGTTTTATTTGTATTTATTCCTGCCACTTGGTATATATCCTTTTTAATCAGTAGGTAGCACCCAACTACAAACATCAGTCATCATTTAGTAACCCTATTTATTTGTTGGGTTTCAGTGGCATTATTCTTTGAAAAGATATTTCTATTGTGTCCTTCTTAGCAGGTCCTTTGATACATTGTGTGAACACAGCACAGCTTGGTGCGACAGAAAGGACGCGTCAGGTCTCAAGCAGAATCCCAGCTCCGCAGTCACTAAACATTCCAAAGCCTCAATTTCTTCACCTGTAATTTGGGGGATAATATGGACCACCTTCCAGGATGGCCGAGAAGGTTAAACACAAGTAACACAACTGGAAGCTGAACAAATATTAACCCCCCTTCTTTTTAAATAGCCTTGCTTAGCCCATATGCTTTTCTTAATCTTTCTTATTTGGGTTAGGAAAACTATACACAGGACTAGAAGGGACGCAGCTATAGAAGTTTGGAGTTGAGACAACTGGATAAGTTTCTGGGATGTCAATTCAGCTTCGTTCCACCAAGGGCAGGAGTATGTGAAGGAAGAAGCTGTGTGTGTCCCTTCCTTCTTCAGGCCTCTGAACCAGCTATCTTCCCGCCACTTAGAAAATCTGTGCAAAAAAAAAGCCGGGCTGGGCGTGGCTCAGCGGTTGAGCGTCAACCTAGGATCCAGGCGATCAGGGTTCGATTCCCGGTCAGGGCACATGCCCGGGTTGCGGGCTCGATCAATGACTCTCTCATCATTGATATTTCTATCTCTCTCTTTCCCCCTCTCCATCTTTGCAACTGACTTAATACCATCCTTGAACATCTAAGATAATACGGAAACAGAATTCAGGATGCTAATAATGAGTAGTTGGTGGACGATACCAAGAAAGAAAATGTCATGGTTCTTAAAAAAGGGTAGCAAATTCCTTCTTGGTTAGAATTGGTTATACCTGAACAGAACAGAGTTCAACTTTCACATGAACTGTTTTTGGATGGGCTCAGGTACCCATTTGACACCCATGTATCAGTATGTTTCACCAATGAACAAAGATTTCAGGTCATCTGTAGTCGGCCTACCCTCAATACGGAAAAAGAGAAACAATTTGGATTTAGAGGAATCACTAAAAGTCTCCATATTCCAGTTTGACCCTCAGTAACTGACCTCTAAAAATCCAAAGATTCATTTCCACATGACCCTTACCCAAACCTAGAGACAGTTCTTCAAGCTAGGGAAGGCTGGGGTATTTGAGTATCACCGTTGCTGCCCAGATACAGGCCATGTCTAAATACGGAGTTTCTATTAGAGGGAAACCCCATACAGCCAGCCAAATAAAAGCTGTCTCCATATCTTACATGTCTTTACAATATTCTGTCCAGGCACCACCAAGCCTTTCACTTAGGAGAAGTAATTGTTTTACCAGAAGACATGATTTATTTTTACATGTTGAATTTGAAACATTGGAAAAAGACCAGTAGACCCAAAGAGATGCAGGGAGAGCCAGTACTATTACATCAGGGAACAAAAAGTAAAATTTTGAAAAGAGCTCAGATAATAAACAAAGGTGAATAAAATCTGAGACTTAAATTTTGTGGCCCCGCCTGAGAACGAGGGGGAGAAATGTACAGCCCTCCTTCCTTTGGAAATGTCTCAAGTTTCATGGATGAAAAGCCCATGCCTGGTGGGAACTGGAATTCTGTGTCTGTTGGGCACAGTGCGGAGTCCAAGGTGGGTGATGCTCGGAAGCGGCCTGTTTCACTCCCTTGTTTCCACCTAATGATCACAGTTGCCACCTATCCGGCATCTGGTGACAGATTTGTGTCTGTGTCCCACAGTCTTCTGGAACGCGGCATATACCAGATTCTCTTAGGCCAGGTTGCTTAGGTTTCTGGGTGCTGTGGGCCATCCCCCAAACCTCTGGGTTCAGATCTGCTTTGAGGAGAGAAGCCAGCAACAGGTAACACTGTGTCTTGTCATCGTTGCTTCCCCTTGGGGAAGGGGATAATCATTCCAGGCCCCTGCGGCTCAGACACCCTCCTTCGCTACCTCGGCCTTGATGCCTGCAATCCCTATTAGAATATCAATGGCACTCTCGTCAGAACTAGAACTAATCCTACAATTTATACAGAACCACAGAAGGCCCCTGAGTAGCCAAAGACACCTTGAGAAGAAACAAAGTGGGAGGTATCTTGCTCCCTGACTTCAAACTGCACTATAAAGGTATAACAATTGAAACAATACAGCACAACAGATATATAGATCAGTGGCGTAGAACAGAGCCCAGCAGCTGACTAAAACTGCAGTTTGGACATGTGGCTTGCTCAAGGTTTTAGACAGGGGCAGACAACGAAACAGCTTGGGCCTTACCAGGCTCCTGTCGTCTTGGCCAGGCCCTTCCATTAGAGCAAGAGGCCTTTCCTCCCCAAATAAGATAGGCCAAGGCTTCACAGAGGTCAAAATCTCAGAGATTCAGAGGCATCTTAGCAAGTGGTGAGACTGGACCAGTGAATGTGACTGACAAATATCAACAATTTCCTTAGACCAGAACAATACCAATAAGGAGGTATTTGTTCCCGTAGCCCACAAAGATATTCTTTGGTTTTCTCCTGGGCACCAGTATGAAGAGAACCTTTCTTTCTATAAAGTAACAATAACTACACTGTATCAGTGTTTTGAAATAGGGTTTCATGATTAAACTAGAAAAAAAAAGCAAAAAAAACCCCTGTCTTAAACCACAAGGGGGCAGGANTTGAAATAGGGTTTCATGATTAAACTAGAAAAAAAAAGCAAAAAAAACCCGTCTTAAACCACAAGGGGGCAGGGTTGATGTGCTAATGTATATATTTTTAGGCGGGTTGTGCATATCCAATTATAGAGACAGGTAGACAGATACAGATTCTTTATAAAACCTAGTATAAATGAACTTGTAAGCCTTCCAAATTAATAATGACAATAGTTTTGCTACAGTTTGTATGTTATTTAACAGTTTACAAAGCTCCTTCACTGGCAATATTATGTCAGCATAATACTTCAGAGTCGGCCTTAATTCAGTGCTTGGTAAGTAACCTTTACAAGTAGGTTGGAATTCCAAAAATAGTGCAGTTTCATGGTCAGTTGCCCTCCGCTGTTGATGCTGATGAGGAGGGATTGTAGAAAGAGCAGGCAGAGCACACACTGAAGGATCGATATGGGTAGAAAGACAGTAGAGAGGTTAAAGTAGTATGTGCCTCATGAGGGAAATCTAGTGGAGAAACACCAGAATATTAAACAAGAGAGGACCCAAAACAAAGCTTGATGACAGTTAGAAAGGCGAAAGACCCACTAACAAGCTTAATAAATGTTATTACGATACTAGTGAAAAAGAAAGATGAAATTTTGTAACATCTGTCACAGGGAATCAACCTACCCCCCCGTGCGCCTCGGCCAGTCAGGCGCGGCCCTGTGAGTTCACCCACAATCTCTGTGTGCTTGTGTTGGGGGGGGCGTGGGAATGGGGACACAGGTGTGAAGGGGGGGGCATGGTTTTGGGATGTGTGGTTAAGGAAAGTTAATTCTGTTTGTACTCAGGCCTGTACCTCTGTGCCGCTCACTTTCCCCTCTTCCCACCATTCCCATCTCTTTTTCGCAGGTGTGAAGCTTGCAGAAAATTACAGCAATTATGCAATTATGCAGCAGCACACAATACAACCCTCTTCAACACAAACACACACTCCACTTTGGCTTGCGGTAGTAGCATAACTATTGTGCCAATTCCCGATGTTTCTTCCCCCAAGTTGTTCTGAATGGAGAAAAGTAACTTTCACTCTGGCCGTGCAGAAGGGCTTCCACACCTGCCCAGGGACACGGGCTGGTCAAACGAGCGAGCCGTGTGTGACTCCACCACACCAGCAGGCCGCTCCTCTGAATCTGCAGCATCAGTATCACCGGGAAGATGTTAACCATTCAGGACCCACTGAGCACGCTCTGGGGATGATACCTGGCAATCTGTGTTTTAACAAATCCTCCCGGTGGGTCGACTGCTCATGTTTGAGAACAACCACTCTCTCCACATGTAGTCTGTCCAGACAGCTGTCAAAAAACCGGGCCGGGAAGATTCCCAGTGCCAGGTCATTTGGCGGAGTGGAGGGGGGG